CTCAGGCATTTCCAAAGCCTGCCCATCTTCCAGTATGGAGTGTAGGTCTACTTCCAGCTCATTTGCCTCAGTCACTTTATCTTGTATCTGGACATGTGCAGATATGGTCATCTGCTTCTGTGTTTTGGGCATCTTCAGGGGTTATCTGTGGAGTTATTACTTAGATGTGTATGTATTTTGGTATTTTTTATTCTTTCTGAATGCCTCCAGGCAGATGTGACCAGGAAATGGGCTTCCCTTTTCACTATTCTTCCTGAGAAGTTTCAAGATAACCATCGTTGGTCGTTTTGATGTAATTTAGAATTTAATTTTTGGCCTATTTCCTGTTTTGTCTGCTTGTACCACTCCACGATCCCCGTTCAGGCCTTTTTTCTAATTGGAAACAGTTCAGGGCCAGCTGACTGGTGGGTTGAACCACCAACCTTTCAGGTAGCAGTGCAGTGCTAATCCTACAGTGCCACACCAAGAGTCCTCAACATACAGTTGTTATTGTTGTTAAATGCCGTCAAGTCAGTTCCGATCCATAGTGACCATGTATAGGGTTTTTGAGGAGCAGCTAGTAGGTTTGAATTGCTGACCTTGTGGTTCGCAGTCTAGTGCTGATCTTACAGTGCCACTTCAGGAGTCCCGATATGTAGTAGGTGTTCACAAGTATTTTGTCTTATATGTGAAATCCATACCTGGATAATAAAAATTAGACTTATTAGGAGAATCTTAAAATGCTTAATGCTAAAGGAGATAGATGTAAGTATTTATGGGATAAGTGGCCTGGTTTTAGGACATTTATAAATAATTCTGGATATATAATTATAGATATTTATACATTTGTTCAGAAGATTTATCAAAGACCATCTATGTGATGACAGTTTTTTAGCCTAATTTATTACTCATTGTCTGAAAGTAAAAACATTGTATGTCTCCATAATTCAAATTGACCTTTGGTATATTGGTAAAATACTAAATGAGTTGAGTGTAAATGTCTCTGTATTCCACTATCATTTTACCTGGATTGTAATCAAATTTTATTATTATAATACACACACATGTATATATATATATATTGTTGTTGTTATTACTGTTCTTTTTGGTTTTTGTGCAGTTGAAAATGCCATGGATTGCCTATTAGAATTATCTGCCACTGATGCCAAGAAAGAAGAATCATCTTCCAAAAGCTTATTTGCTTCTGAGAACCAAGAAAGTGTAGCAGGAAGTGATATACTGGGAACATGTTCTGAAAAAGAAAATGAGGATTCAAAAATGTTTTCCATTTTGGACCCGCAGCTATCTGAAGACAGTGACTGCTTAACTCAAGATGCTTCTGATGGCTCAATATCCACGTGCTGGCCTTTGCAAGATGTTTGTAGTTTGAGTGACCCGAGTGAGTGTGTAAATTCAGATTCAAGTAGTTTGACTCCCATTCTTCCTGAACAAAATAAGAATTTGAACAATGAAATTTTAGAGCATTCTGCCTCTACATTAAGTTCAAGCTCCTTAACTTCACATTCAATTTTGAATGTGTCCAAAAGCTTTCTAAATGATAACACATTGGCATTGGAAAATAACTATCTGGAAGATTCTCTTCTCTGTAGTCCTTTAAATGTAGCAAATGACTCCAGCCTGGGTCATAGCAATCTGAATCACAGACAGAAAGAGCTTTTAAAAGCTGAATATGTTGAGACTCAGTTCTCTGTAGCCTCTGTAGGTTTGGATGACAACGAACCTCAGGCTCCTTTAAATCTTTCAGTGCCAAATGTAGAGCTTGATTCACTAGATACAGGTGGGGATCAAAAATCTACTTCTGCCCCTGATATGTTAGTACCTTCTGAAAGGTTCACTTCCAAGACACACAAACCTACTGAACCATCACCACAGGGGAAGGATGTGAATTACTGCCCAGTATTTACCTCTTTGCCTTTAATGATGCCTCCCTGCCCATCTCCATTATTGTGGAATCCAATAATTCCTACTTTTGGCCTCTTTAAAGGAAACCATGGCTTTGTAACTCCTGTGGTAACCACAGCTGCACACTGGAGACCTGTCAACTATGTATTGACATCCCCGGTTATTTCTTATACTTCTCGAGCCAAGGTATGGAGAAATAAAGAGGGAACAAGTGCTTATCAAGCACAAGAAACTCCAATTCCCCAGGCTGTAAGAAAGAAGAGAACATCTTATGTTGGACTAGTTCTTGTTCTTCTCAGAGGGCTTCCGGGATCAGGAAAATCCTTTTTGGCAAGGTATGAGGTTTAATTGGGAATAAAATCAGTATAGTGTGTGAACATAGACATGTCAAATACAGGAAATAACATTGCTTAATAGAGATGTTTGGTAACCCCTAAGATGTTTCTGTTTGCTAACTTGTTTTAATTTTGTGACTGATAGCACTATTTACTTCAGAGGGTTTAATTTTCGTCTCCAGATATTTTTGAGAGAATGAAGAGAAAGAAAGATTAAAGGTGATTCCAAGATAGTGAGCATGTGAAGTTAACAGAAGTAGCTTTATATGAAAGCTTATGACTGAGAGCAGGGGTGTAGTATTATGGAGGTTAAAAACCACATGGGATTTGGAATTCATGGGAAGAAGATTTTAAATAGGAGAGTTCTACTGACAGAGATTCATGATTGTAGCATGTTCAATATTGCTTTTAGAACTATGTAATTTGAGGGAAGAGTGAGTTAAACTATGTAATTTGAGGGAAGATTGAGTTAAACTATGTAATTTGAGGGAAGAGTGAGTTTAGGATGACTCATTAATAGTAAGATTTTCAATGAATTTGTCAGACAATTCAATATCCCCATTTACTTATTTCACACGTCCATCCATGTCACTTTTGTCCATACGGTAGGTTGTGGACAAATTTGTGTATTCTTGGTCAGGGAGACTGAAGTCCATATAAGGGGTAGCTTTTTGTGGTCTCAAGTACACTCACTCCTTAAAGAATTGGTTTTCGTTGTGCCTGGTGTGGTGCTGAAGGATATGCACTAGATCGCAAGGCCAGTTTGAACTGCAAGGAGGAGGTTCAAATCCACTAGCTGCTCCTTAGAAACACTATACAGGTTCACTATGAGTCAGAACTGACTTGACGACACTTAATTACAACAATGACACCTACTCTATCCTTTAAAGTCCAGAAGGTTAACACTGTCATTTTGTTTGCCAGTTCTTTCTTTCTTCCCCTACTCCCACCCCTAGTTTTTAACTATTTACCCTTCTCTGTGCTCAGCTAGGTCTGGTTTTGAGGGGATTCTGCGTATTTCTAGTGTTAGTGAATATGTATATTTTCTTGGAGAATGTCCTTGACAAGCTCGTTTTCAATTGTTTTTATGATAAACTTTCTCTGTATGGATTTATATTCCTGTAAATTTGCCCATATTCTACTCATACACTTCTAATACAACATATTCTTTTATAGACTCTTTATCACGGGCTTCTCATTGGTTGTTGTTGTTAAGTGCTGTTGAGTCAGTTCCAACACAGCGACCCTGTAAAGGGTTTCCAAGGCTGTAAATCTTTGCGGGAGCAGAAGGCCTCATTTTTATCCTGAGTCTCACTGGTTAATAACAACAATAATGGTAAAACATTCAAAATAAGTATTATGAATTTGAAATCATAGTTTTATGTTTTTTGAAAGACATTGGAAATACAGGTGATAATTAAAAGGTGATAGAGTTGTAAGCTACCACTTTTGTGTCAGTTTGTTGTACTGTTGTGGCTTGCATGTTGCTGTGATGCTGGAAGTTATGCCACCGGTGTTTTAAATACAGCAGGATGCATCCATGGTGAACAGGTTTCAGCTGAGCATCCAGACTAAGCTAGAAGAGGAAGAAGGAGAGGTGGACTACTTCTGAATGAATGTCTAGCTACTGAAAAGTTTATAAATAGCAGTGGAACACTGTCGAATAGCACCAGAATAGTGAATTGAAACATGATGAATAGCACCAGAATATTGTCAGGTCTAGTGCAAGAAGATGAGCCCCTCAGATTGTAATGTGCTCAAACTACAACTGGGGAAGAGCTGTCCCCTCAAAGTTGAGTTGACTATGATGATGCGAAAGGACTAAAACTTTCAGGACTTTCATTGGCTGATGGGACACAACTCAAAATGAGGAGAAGCAGCAGTAAACATTAATTATCAGAACATGGAATGTACAAAGTGTGAATTTAGGAAAATTGGAACTTGTGAAAATTGAAGTGGAATACATAAAGAGATTGATATCCTAGACATTACTGAGCTGAAATAGATTGATATTGGCCATTTTGAATTGTTTCCAATCAGTTGGCCAGGTAGTTACCTTCCAAATTTCTTGGCGTAGATATGAGTGAGTGCCTCCACTGCCACATCAGCTTGTTGAAAGATTTCAATTTGTATTCCATCAATTCCCATAGCCTTGTTCTTTTCCAGTGTCTTCAGTGCACCTGAAACTTTTTCCTTCAGCATCAGTTCTTGATCATATGCTCTGTCTTGAAATGGTTGAAATCAACCATTTCTTTTTAGTACAGTAACTCTCTATTACTTCCTTCTTCTTTTGATGCTTTCTGCATCATTCAATATTTTGCCTGTTGTTGTTATGAAGTGTTGTCGAGCTGGTTCCGACCCATAACAACCCTGTATAGGGTTTTCGAGGAGCAGCTGGTGAGCTTGAACCGCCGACCTTGCAGGTCAAACGGCTTTGCAGTCTGGCGCGTTAACCCACAGCATCACACCAGTCCCTCAATTACAAGTCAAAACTTGAACTTCTTCAGTTCCCTCAGTGTTTAGAAAAGGTGTTTGCAAAGAATAAGTCATTGGTCTTACAAAATTCTAATCATGCAATCTCCAGGAGCTCTTCTATTACCAAGATCATGTTTTCTAACTACTGATCCTTTCTGTTTGTTTCCAGCCTGTATATCACAATCAATAATTATCAATACATTTTATTATATGTTTGATCAATTTCAAACTGAAGAAGTTAGTAGAGTTCTTCAGTTTGTCATTACTGGCTTTAACACTTGGTGTATAAATTTGAATAATACAAGGGTATGTCAAAAATTACGGCACTCTGTCTATAGAATTTATTTTAGTCAACGTTTAGAAAAAAATACATCATTTTTCTGACATAATTGCCATGCTTTTCTATACACTTTATCCATCTGTCAACCAGCTTTCGTATTCTCTTATTAAAAACTGTTTTAGGCTGAGGGGCAAGCCGGGAATGTGACACTGTCATCACTTCTTCATCAGAGGAGAATGTTTGTTCTCAAAGGGCTGCTTTCAGGGGACCAAACCAGTGAAAGTCGGATGGAATTATGTCAGGACTGCTTTGTTGTTGTTGTTGTTAAGTGCTGTCGAGTCGATTCCGACCCATAGCGACCCTGTACAGGCTTTCCAAGGCTGTAAATCTTGACGGGGGTAGAAAGCCTCATCTTTCTCCCGCAAAGTGGCTGGTAGTTTCGAACTCCTGACCTTAAGGTTCGCAGCCCGATTCGTAACCACTGCCCTACCAGAGCTCCCATATGGGCTTTAAATCACTTAAGGCACAGTCCAACAGGGCTCCAAAGGCACATTATAGTCAACAGAGTATAGTGACTGATGGATATAATGAATTTTGAATTATTATTAAAAGGTCAAATTTCTAAGCAAGGTATTTTCTTTAAAGAGGCAGGGAATCATGCAATAACCTTTAGAAAGCTTTTCACTGAAAAAATAATAACTCTTTAAAGTCATAACACCTGATTTTAGAGAGGACACTATCAAACGAAGGTCCAAACAGGCCACTGGGCAAAGATAGGTTTTAAAAATAAAGCAGAAAAGATCCTCTGCTAAATAGTTTGAACTTTGCCCTAAAAACCAATGGGAGCCACCAAAAGGAGAAAAGAAGCAGAGGCTGACCAAATCAGTCCAGATAGGAGGGGAACGTCCTCAAGGTCTTGCTGTTTTTGGGGGTGGCCAGTGTTGTCTACCCCAAAAATGACAGTTTGAAGCCAAGTAAGTGTTAGGGAATAACCATGCCAGCTTCTTCATTTATTGTCATCCAACTGAATACAAAACACCTTTCTATTCTGTCCTCTTGGTGGTGGAAACATACTTTTGACTTATTTTCATTATTGTTCAGCAGCCCCTAAGAGCAACCTGAGACTGTTGAGGATGGACCACATCACACACCTCTTTCTCTACTTCTCCCCATTTTCACTGATCCTTCTTCCACTCCTCTCCCAGTCTCATCCATACCCTAAACCTGAAAATTGGATCTGGAAGCATCATAGGTATTGCTTGGTCATGACTGCCAATATGCAGGCTCTACAGATATGTAGATCCATGCTATACAGACAAAAAACAAGGAATCATTTCCATGGGAACTTCTAATTTACAAGAGTGCCTTAACTGAGAAGTTTTGGGTTTGGAGTTATTTTTCCTTTGATTCTGATGTTTCCTTTGATACTTTGGTTTGTGATGAAAGCAAGTATAGGCACAACTTTCTATGAGTATGGAAATAAGCATGTAACTCTAGTTTAACATGTAACTGGACTTCTGGTGTGATGCTGTAAGATCAGCACTGAACTGTGAACCGCAAGGTCAGCAATTCAAACCCATCAGCTGCTCCTCGGAAATCCTGTGTACAGAGTCGCTATGACTAGGAATCAACTCAATAGCACTTAACAACAGCAATGACATTTAACTAATGCCTTAGAGAACCACAAAGTTAGTTAAATATCCTGAAATAAAAACATCAAAACAAAGCTGAACAACTACAGAAACTGAGCATTTTGACTCCTAAGTATACATTTTAATTAACCTGTCATATTTCTTTTCACTTAAAAATAGCTCCTCCAAAATGTTTTAACAGTATTCACAGCAAAAATAAAGAATAAAATCCCCTTTTTCTCCAAATTCAATATTATCCTCTCCCCATAAAAAACAAATGTTTTTTCCCCCTGTGTAGATCAATCGTTACAATGTTTTTGGGCTTTTTAAGTAATAAAAGTAGTTGGAAAATATTAGTAAATAAAAGCTTTGTTTACACTCAGATGTCTTCCACTGGTCAAACCATTGGTAGAGAACATAAAATTAAGACAGCCACAGAACTACCTTCTTAACTAGTTAACAGGTAGTAATTCACACAGTAGAAAAACACTGATTTACTTTTGGTATTCCTGCCATGCCAACAAGTCTTTTGTACAGCTTCAGGGTGACTGTTTTAACACCTCAAAATGACATTTTTGTGTCAACAGTGTAGGTAGAGGTATGCGAATGTTGCA